AAAAACAGTTGACTATTACTCATACGGGCTTTCGAGCGAGGCGAGGAGACGGCGCCGAGAGAAGTGAAGGCCTCAGCTCGCAGCTCTCGACCGCAGAAGCCCCAGGGCCGCGTCCGAGCCGGGCCCACTCGAAAGGACGTCCACGGCCGTCCGCGAGGGCCGCGGCCCGGGAAGGGACCCGCACACCTTCCAACTGAGTCGGGCGAGGGTGGGAGGGAGAGGCAGAAGGGGCGGGCCAGAGAGGACGCGGGCGCTGGCCTGGCCCTGCCCTAGGGACCCGCGAGCCCGGGCGAGCGTCCTAGGCGCAGGCGAGGAGCAGCCTCCAGCCCGGGTCAGCAGCGCGCGGACTCGCAAGGAGCCGCGGCTCCCGCCTCGAGGACGTTCGTCGGCAGCGTCTGGGGACGGGTGTCTGAGGGAGAGCCGCTGGACGCCGCGGAGGCTCCCGTCCAGCTCTCAGGGGCAAGGCCCTGATGGCAGAGTCAGACCTCCCCCGACCCACCCCGCCCCGGTCGCCCAGGGCTCTCAGCCCCGCGCCTGCGCCCGCAGAGCGTTTCTCCCGGGACAGAGAAGGGGCCGGTGGCGGACAAGTGGGGCGCAGGCCGTATTTGACCCACTTCCCCGAGTCTGCCTCGAGGTTGACCAGCGGCTAGTGGTCGCTGGCGACCCGCCTGCGCTCTCAAGCCCACCTCCCGTGCAGAGAGGCGACCCGACCCCGCCTGGGCAGGTGTCCCGGGGTCTCGCCGTCGCGCCAGGCTCGCCGGGAGGCGTCGGGCCGAGGCGCGGCAGGTCTGGCGTCAGCCGCGGGCGGCGCGTGGGCGCTACCCGGGTCACGTGCCCGGGGGCCAAGGCTGAGAGCCCTCCGGCTGACCTGCCCCTTAGTCCTACGGCGCGGCGGGTGGAAGGCGCCTAAACCCGGCTCCTGAACGCCCGGAGCGCCGGCATCGTCCCGCTCCCGGGTGACCAGAGGGCGTCCTGGAACAGCTGTCGCGTCCCTCGGCGTCTGTGCGGGTGGGGGAGGGGGACCCAGGCCGGCTGTACCTTAGGTCTTTGGGCGAAAGTCGACTGGGCCGAGGCAGCAGAGATCGGGGTCAGTTAGGGACCACCCGCAACCGCTCCCAGGGTGACTGCTCCAAGACTGGTATCAGATGGGCTGACAGAAGCAGACTGCCTAGAAATCCAAATTTCCCTTCCTAGTTGGTGCCTGAAGCAGTCCTTAGGCTGCCCAGTAAAACTATTTTTGCTTCCTTTCTCCCCGCCCTTCCCCCATAGGGAAAAGTCAGCGTCTTCTCCAGATCTTAACCTAGTTGTTCTCACCCCCAAAGAAAACACATCCCTTAACACTGGTCACAGACCAGGGTAACTAAAAATTCTGCCTGGAAATAAGTCTTTAGACTGAGGTTATTAACTATACAAGCTGTCTTCCTGCTATTTCCTTCTGAAGAAGATGAAAATTCCCAATAAAAGTATTGCCACATGCTGTTTAGAGTGAAGGAGAACAAAAGACTTCAGTTTCCCCCAAAATTTCATTTTCTGATAACTTTACATACCTTGGCATTTTTAAGAGTCAGGTGGTATTTTATTGGTAATTTAAACTTACGGACTGTTAATCAAAATTCTGAAAGTTCATTTTGTCTTAAGTCATTTAAGAAGCGACTTATTCTAAAAAACTGAATTTCTTTCCAAAATACCATACTGCCGGCCCGGCCCATTTCTGCCTTGTTAAGGCACATCTAAAACAACAATTACTGTTATATACTTGAGCATTTTTATAATCATGAGGCAGAATATACCCATATGTTTTCAAATATCTGAAAGTTTTAGGTTCAATCTTTTCTTCTAAGGTGGGATAGCTTTTTTGTTTTCATAAAACTGATTAACAAAAAAGATTGTTACACACAGGCACCCAGTAGCTCCTCTGTAATTAAGTGTATTTTCTGTGAAACACCAGACTGACGAGGGTGCCTGGTGGCACTGAGGCTGTGGCAGGAAAGAGCATTGTCAATGCGGGTAATTTTCACCCCGAACACGGTATGTTTGTTTTTAAATTTTAAAATCTTTGTTCAATAGTTGCCAAGACTTCCACCTCTGCTACGAATGTGCATGTGCACAAGTTCTGTGGCTTTGAAGCAGCACAGGACTATATGCTGCAAATGGCTCTCCAATCCAGGTTTAGGAAAACTCTAGATGCCTGCAGTTCTATGATTCAGAGCCTCAACCAACATGAGCCCCTGCAGATGTCTCCTACTTTGGGGTGGGTGACAGTGTTCCTGGCAGAGTCTTGTGGGTTAGACAGGACTCCTGCGTACACAAGCGTGGAGTGGGAAATAGCCCAACTGTAGTAGTCACAGCTCTGTCCTCCTGGACAAGAGAAGGCGCAAACATCACATTTCTTTCTTCCACAGAAAATCAGTTGGTGAGGTTTATTACTTCATTTTATGAAAACCTAGAAATTCAATGCAAAATGGATCTCAAACTCCCAGAAATCAGGAAGTACAATTTTCTAAATTGAGTGTAAAATATGCCTCACATACTACTCATGGCAGGATTTCCTTGTGGCAAGCAAATTCACTGAGGATCTGCAGTGTATCACATGCAATGTGGAAACCACACATGTAACTTACCTTTTAATATTAATTGCAATACTATAGTAAATCTGATTTCAGAGCAGGCAAAGTGTGATCAGTTTGTAGATCTTTTATATAGCCTATGACTGTCTACATGCAACCCAGCCTATAAGACTCTGTTTCTAAAATTAAGGAGAAATTTGAGAAGAAAACCTTTTCACAGTGGATTTTCCCTTTTCTTTGGCCATAGGTTTGGGGTAAGCTGTTTTTCTATTGTTCTGTCATTTGTTCCAAACCTCACTGGGATGAGGAAATTAACACGAGTTGGATTTAAGATGCTAAGAGAGATTTCCTCCTTGGGATCAGCCTGAAAACATTTCCCACTTTGAAGCTAATACCCACACACTACTGCTGCAGTGAGAGAAGTAGGCATTTGCAGAGAGCAAAAATTTCTATGGAACATGAGATAAGGGGTAAGATATACAGAAAAGACAGAGCTTTTCTCCCATTATTCTCAGGGGGAAAAGGTCAGTAACAATACATACCTGTAAAGAGTAAAGAACCAGTTTAAGATTAATGTGCTAACTGGTCCTGGTCTCAATGTATACAGAGAACATCCCCTCCACCTCAACTTCTCATTCTCAATATTTGACTTGTAGAAAACAGGTCTCAGTAGCTCTACACCTATTTTCTAGAGAGCTCAAAGGCTGAAGACATAGACATCGTTTAGATTCAGGTATCCTACAACATCAGTCTTTTGCAAAACAGAAGGTTCTCTCTGAATTCTGGAAACAACAGAATTAGATTCCTGAGCAGGCAGTAGCAACTTCTGGACAGACAGCTGGAGGAGACGCTTCCAAATTTTGCCAAAGACTAGGAGTATCTGCATCTGGAAGAAGAAAAAAAAAAAAAAAGGTTGGGGGTGGGGCAGTGCTCTTGGGCTCTGAGTGGAGAATGCCTGTATGAATGTATGTATGTGGGTAGGTGAGATAATGGTTAGCACCTGATTGTATCTTCAGACTGTAACCTATACAGGTGGGATTGATTACTAAGAACACTTGGAGGGGGGCAGGGGAGGAGTACTTCTGGCGGGTTTGGCAATCTTGAGGTGTCTTCTGCATGGCTTTGGAATTTCAAAGGCCAGCAATCTGCCCACCTTCAGAGGCCACCCTTTTCTATGGGAGAAGAGAATCTCCCAAGGAGGAAGCCAACTGTTCAAGTACGTGAACAATCCTCATCCCCTGTAGGCCTGAAGAGAAATTCAGGAGGGTGGCACTTTCCTGCTTTCTGAACACATCACCCACCAACTTACCCAGGGCGCTTGCTTCAGTGAGGGCAGGCAAATAGCAGGTAAGGGAAAGGAGATACAACCTTAAAACAGAAATAAACAAGTAAGTATTAGTCTAGCCTCTCCTCCTTACCCTGATCCTTCCCTCCCTGCCTCTGAGAATCAGTCACCAGAGTCCTCTAGAAGACTCTGAGTTTCTGCTCTTAAACGGCTCCTATTCCAAGGAGGAACAAGGTCTGTTTTCTGATGTGGGGCCCCAGATGCTCTGTTATTGCAACTTAACTTTGTCATTGCTTCTTTTCAAAGATTATTTGGAATGAATTGTTTCTTTTGTTTACTATCCAACAAACGACCTCTGCTAATCTTATATTTTATCTCTCTAACATATGGAAAAGCTATTTATTCTAGCCAATCACAATAAAGTGAAGAAAACCCCATTTTATGGAAAAGTATATATCACTAGTCTGTTGATCATTAAAGATATGATTACCAGTGAAAACCCTCCGAAGGTGGCACATTTATGCTTCCAGGAACAGATGGGGACACGCATTTTCCTTGCAAATACTTTTGAAATTGCTCTACTGGTAGCAGTATAAAAATGATATACAGATGCCAGGGCCGGCATGGCCAGGATGAGTGCGCCAGATTTACACAGTAAAGCCTTCACACGCGGGCTGTCAGTTTTGATCGATCTCTACTATACCTCAGGAACTTGTTGACTAGGTAGGGAAACAGTGCAAATAATTCACTGCAGCAAGTCAGATAATTCACACAACCAATCGGTCTGCTTCACTTTCTGGCTGTGACATATGAGCCTTCTCTACAAAGATGCATCATTTTCCAGCTTGAGCAATATTCAATGTCAGGGAAGAAAAGGTATTAAAGCCACACAAAAGGTGGAAGACTATCGCAGGACCAGAGTTGTTTTAGTAATGGAGGCCAGATCCTGGTCTACTCTAAGTCCTACCAGAGCATTCAGGCCCAATTGTCATTATCATATTGATTAAAAAAAAAAAGTTCATCATAGTGCAATTTTAGGTTTAACGCCAACAGATCGGGAAAGAGCAAAGAATTATCCCACAAAAGCACAACATTCTTACCACAGGGACGTTTCCCTGTTCCAGTTCATTGATGGAGTTGATTAAGTTTAAATGAAGCAGACACTGGATAAAAGTAAGGGTATTGACCACTGGGCACTGCGATCCCTGCTTGAAAGGACCTGATACATGCAGAAAAGCAAGATTTGCTAAATGCTCTAATCTTCAATCAAATCTTACATCAATACAGACAAAGTTTGGTAATGAGAGATTCAATGAAGCATGTGGGAGAAAGAATTAATCCTCTTGGTCTAAACTGGCTTCAACTTTGAAGCTTGCTCCGAAGGAAAGATAGTTATCTAAATGCTAAATAAGAAACTTATTGTACTTTTCATGGCATGCTAATCTTTTGTCTATTTCATCTCTATTATGTGTATGCGTCTAGATTGCAGTTGTCATGGTGATTATATCAAGCTATGCTCAGGGGACGGTGGTGAGAAGCCAATCAGGGATGTGGAGAAGACCCCCACGAAGTTCACATTTGGAAGAATGGAGCGGGAAGGAGGAGGCGGGCACCTAAGGCCTCCCTGGCTCCTCCCCCTTCCTGTCAGGCCCTGGCCCGTCCATCAAAGGGCAAGGGGCCTGGGGCTTCCTGCGCCATTTCAGGCAAGGTCCCATCAGCCAGGCGAGCAGCATTTGGTGACAGTGGTGGGGGGGGAAGGAGTCAGGCATCCTTCCTACCCCAAACTCCTTTCTCCGCAGAGGTTCTCAGCTTTTAGTCCAGAGGCTCCCCGCCCCACCTCCCCTTTGTCAGGTCACATGCAGAGGCTGACTGCAGAGGGAACCGAGAGTGGGACGGCTGCGGACACTCTCTGGCCCTCCCTGCAGGCTGTGCCTCAGGGCGGGAAGTTGAGTCAGACTCTAAGTGCAAGAGAGGAAAGAAAACCAGATCCAGAGAAGCAGTCCACGGAAGCCCTGGCGGGGGTGAAAGCTAGAGGGTCACGCAGGGCTCTGGCGACCAAAGGTGACCCTGGGCCCTTTATGTGTTTTACAAAAGTTGCCAAATTAAGATGGGATTATAACTGCTCGAGTCCTTGTCAGGGCTGAAAGGTTGGGAGCCTCAAATATGCCCCAGCAGTGTTGATGAAAAGCTTAAAAAGTAATAAAAGGGAGAAAAGAGCGAGGAAAGTAACATGTATAACTCTTATTAAAGAGAAGAGCCACAGAGAGGTTGTGAACTTGAATCACTGTTTGAACTTTAATTTGTTCATTAACAGGATTTGCCCCTCACTGCGAATGTTATTACTTCCTTTGCCGCTCAGCAACAACTCCAGGCATAATGAAAGAGTCTGGCAAAAAGTTAAATGCCTGGTAATTAATTCATTTAATTGAAAAAAGAGGGAAGAGGGAGAAAGAGAGGTCCCACTGTAGGAGCAGAAGACAGAGGGGTTGGAGGAGAGGGCAAGACTGAAATTTGCATGGAGGCCCTCTCCAAGGTCCAATGCCTGCCACTCATGCAGGAGGGGAGACTGGGTCACTTGTGAGGCTCTTTTCAGCAAAATTAATGCCAGGAGCACCCTGAAGACCCCCTGCCCAAGGCCACCTGCCCCTGATCTGAAGCCCCTAGCCAGGGTTTCAGCCAGGAGCTTCTTTGGATGGTCTATTTAGGGTAAAACGGACACCAGAAATCCAAAATTATACTCAAAAACTCTTTCATTGAAAAGTAGGAAGATGCCTTTTGCTTTCTCCCCTTCCTTCTCTTGGAACAGGTTTCTTACATAGCCTTCTGTTTCCAGGATGGAGTAAAAAGGAGTGTCAAGAGTCAGATATAATCTGCATGTTGGCATCTCAATAACCTTACAGCATCACGCTTTCTTTCTAACCGCCCCCCCCCCCCCCCCCGCCGTTTCACAGCAGATTTCAGTAAACTCAGGGGATGAGAAATGAAATACACTCCATCCCTCCGCTCAGAACATCAGGACAGCCTGCTCTGCCTCTAACCCCACAGGCCTGCCTTCCCACCCACCACTGCACACAGGCCCCTTACACGTGCACCCTCCTTCTGAAGGCAGCAGTGCATAATCACAGTTAACTACTGTGACACCCCAGATACCCCAGAGTTATAAGCAACAGGTTGCCCTTATAGCCAAATGAGAGAACAGCAAAATTCCAGAAACCAGCAGAGGTCAGTCATCCTTTCCTACATATTTAAGGTCTACCACTGAACAGTTTCAATTTCCTCACATTTTAAAAATGGGTTCCATATAATCAGTGTGACTTTCTTTAGAAATACAATTATCCACTATATATTCTCCCATTACAGAACTATTAGGGACAGAAAAGAGTGGTGAGAGAGACAACATAAATGACTTCACTAGTATCCAAAACCATTTCCTAGGTTTGTGTTTTTAATTAAATCACTTCTAAACCCGAGGGAGAAGACAGTATTTTCTCATCCAAGTCACACTGTCACCAAATAAAGTCATCAAATTACTACTTTGCTGCAGGCTCCTCCCCATTTGACCCAATGCTACTTGGTACTCAACCCTAACCTCAAACACCAAACAATTATAAATGATCTACACTGTGTTTTTCTGAAAACCAGTGATAGGCACACACTTATGTGCATTAACAGGAAAAGGAAAGTTTCTTTAAAAAGGACTATTTCATAAGCTGAAGCAAGTTCTAGCATTTATTTAGCATTAAAGTTACTTCCCACCTTCTACAGTCTCTGGATATTGAGTTCTATTTTCCAAAGCTGTGGACCTATACTGATTTTATTCTGGAAAACTACAGAATTCTAATCTCCTTTTACAAAAGAAACTTTAAAGAGACCACATCAACCTGGTCTAATAACCTTTGTTATTGTTCAGTCACTAAGTCATGTCTGACTCTTTTGTGACCCTATGGACTGTAGCCTGCCAGGCTCCTCTGTCCATGGGATTTCCCAGGCAGGAATACTGGAGTGGGAAGCCATTTCCTTCTCCAGGGGATCTTTCCCACCCAGAGATTGAACCTGAGTCTCCTACATTGGCAGAAGAATTCTTTACCACTGAGCCATCAGGAAAGCCACTAATAACCTTACCACTATCCTAATCTAGACACTTCCTAGTTTACTGATGCGTAAATTTCTTCCTTCCTCCAAAACAGCCTTCAGAGTGCCTTGAGATTAATTTCTCCTAAACCCCCACTGCACTCAAAAGCCTCAAGAGCGCTGACAGTATATAATAACCCCACCCAGCTCCTTAAATCGGCCTTTAAGCCTCCTCTCCACTCTGCCCATAGGCACTAACTGGCCTTTTCTGACTTGTTTTCCACTACTAGCTTACACCAGCAAGACAGCTCTTCAGGAAGACAGATCCCCTGTTGTCCCCTGAAAACACCACATGAATTATCTTCATTTTATTGAATACTTGTGAGGTGGCAAGCACATGTTAGGCCTTACAAACATTCTCTCATCTCCCTTCAATTTAATGAGATATGATTATACCCATTTTAGGACTGGAAAAACTGAGAGTAAAGAAATTAAGGTACTTATCCAACTAAGATCTCAGCAGAGACAGGATTCTTACGCTTCTCTGTCTGGCTTAAAAACTGGTTTACTTTCCATTTGACATACTCTCACCCCTGCAGTACTGTGTGTTCTCCTTGCCCTCTGGGACGCCTTCTCAACTCCAGTATACATATCTGAATCCCAGCCTACAAATCCCAGAGAGAAATTTCCACCTCTATCTTGAAATCTTTCACCATCATCCTAGTCCTTGGCAGCCTGCTGAACCCTTCATTATCTGCAGCTTTTACTTGGACCTCCTATTCTCTGCCCTGTACTGGTACGTCAGTTTTCATTTACACAGTCCCTTCCAACCATACTGTAAGCTCCCTGAAGAGGGGAATTTGCCTAATATTTCTTTATCTTCCTCACTCTCCAGAGCCTAATGATACAGCTTCCATTTGTGGAACACCTTCATGCACAGTAATCCTAAAAAGCAGACACTGTTATTATTGTCCTTTTGCACATAAACTGGTGCTCAGGGTTCAGAGAGATTAAGAAACTTGCCCAAGCCACTCAGCAAGAAGTGGCAGATCTGAGGTTCAAACACAGCCATCTGAATCAAACCTTCTTCTTCCTTAACCAGTACAATGTAGTGGCTCAGACACATTTTGTCTCACACAACATGAATCAGTGAAGTGTCGATGTGTGGAGGATACTCAGTAAACCTCTAGGAAATACCCTCTAACCACGTCTTAAGGTAAGGGCACGGTTTTCCTCTTTAGTACGATAGACTCTGAAACTCAACAGAAGAAGGAATGAGTGTATCCATCCCAAGCCACCCCTTCTATTCATTCGCCCCTCCTCTCTAGGAGCCATCCCCCCTCCGCTCCCCGCCACTGGGTGTATCTGTACTGGTGTTTCGCTGAGATGTGTGTGTGTGCTCAGTCACATCTGACTCTTTGCAGCCCCATGAGGCAGACTACCCTGTCCCAAGCAAGCTTCTACCTTTTAAAGACACAGGAGAAAATCAAGGAGAGAACTTTTCTAATGGCCTGCTGCTGTGGGAAGAATCACAATTGCAAAAAATATTCACAGCTGACCAATACGTGGCACTCCACCTAGTCTCTTGCCTGCTTTCTTCTAAGACATGTAGGTGGCAACAGGGATTCATAAATTCTCTAAGAAAAGAACTTCTGAGAGTACAAGAATCAAGAGCTGGACGCTTGGATACTTTCCCCTCATGGAGACTGTGGCTTCACTGCCAGTGCTGAAGATCTGGACTTGATAGCACCAAGCAAGCTAACAGGTTTCTTTATTTCCAACAGGTCCAACAAAACAAACAAACAAAAAAGAAAACCTCTTACGAAGGCAACAGGTACTTCCTATAAATTTGAGAAAAGGGGGAAAAATGACTATAATTCACTGTTCTCTAGTATTCATGTGAAAACTAGTCTGTTCTCCTAAATTCCAAAGATAGGTTTCTATCTTCACTTACATTTTGGTTTTAAATATCTGGACAGCTCAACAACCCTTACCTTGACCTACAAAACCCATGTTGTAGCACACAAAAGCTTGTACACGCACAGCATTTAATAACCCCAGTTCTTCGATTTATTTCATCTCAGATAAGGCTCAAAACCACCCTTGAAATAAATGTACTATATACATTTTGCCTATGAGAAAATGAAAATTTGCCTCAAGTAACACAACTGGTACATGATAAACCTAGTTCCTACTCCTAGTCCAGGGTACTTTCTACCATATGGTATTTCCCAATTCTCAGGGCGATTTCCTGTCATTTCTATATTCTTGATCCACGTGAATTTTACAAATCTAAAACCAGTAACTTCTCTATCTGAAAGAGATGGGCCTCAAGCTATACTAACCAAACTTTTTAAAAAATGGCCATACGAAGAGTCCTCCACTCCAATCCTGAAACTATAAACACTATATACAAAATTTAACATTTAGATTCAAACTAAGAAATATCTGGATGGTTCTTTAAATCTATAGAATATTTTGAGTATTTTCTGGGTACCTGATACTTCTTGGTACTTGTAACATAAAATTTAGGCATTGTTTTGTCTACTAGTAGACAGTCTTTTCCCCAGAAGAAATCCAGAACTGGATCTCTCCACGTTGTTTACTGACCTTTTAGTTGGGTATCTCTCTGATATCCAGAGCCCAGCAGGTCCCCTTCCCTAATTTCTAAGCAATAACCAAACTCATCAAAGCAGACAAAACTCAGAGTTCCAGATCTTATAAATGGCTGAAATAAGGATATTCTTTTTGTCTCAGCTCAAGCTTGGTTAATCCCCATATCCAGTCAAACTCTGGGGTGAAAGAGAGGAACATACTTGACGACTTAGCACTGCTGCCCTATTTCTTTGTCTGCTGGTTGACCTTCTCTCTGTAAGTTCCATCAGCATTCGCAACATTCAGTTTAAGCAGAAGGGCTCTTTCATCTTTGTCCTCTGGTCTTGCTCTCTCCTGATCATTACAGTCTGGATCCCTGCTAATCACTAATGATCCTGTGGCCTTCTATATAATACTAAAGATATTAGATCTGAATCCTTAGAAAAATTCCTACTCACCTAATTACACTCTTTCTGCTTTTCTTGGTTCTCCATACAGTCTCAGCTGGTGTTGAATTTGAATTATTTCCTCAGATTTTAAATTATTTGCCAGTGGTTTTTGAAAAGGACATCTCTTAAGTGAATTCAATTATGATTCAAAAGTCCCATGACCCACCTCTTCCCATCTCCACCTCTCTTTTCCTTGAGTGTCTTTCTACCCCATCTCCCATATTCTGGTCGTGACTATCATAAGAATTTAAATTCAGAGTAAGGGGTTTCATGACTCTGTATTTTGCACAGCACATAGCATATTTTTAGCACACAGTGGTTCCACTATATATATGTGTGTGTGTGTGTGTATATATACATACTTTGGGTCTCTATTCACAACCATCTACTTAAAGAAGACAAATGTTTCGACCTACAAGTTAGACTTCACCTACAGTTGAAGAAGCACTGAGGTTTTTCTTTTTTTTTTTTAATTGTGGTAAATGTCTTGCTCACTAAATAGAATACAGGTTAAGTTTGATTTCTTAACTGAGTGTGATTCCTATATTTCAAGGAATGTGGGGCACCAAATTTAGAGAAGTATATGTATGTGTGTAATGCTAAGTTGTATCTGACTCTGTGCAACTCTATGGACTGTAGCCTGCCAGGTTCCTCTATCTATGGGATCCTCCAGGCAAGAATACTGAAGAGGGTTGCCATTTCCTACTCCAGGGGATTTTCCCAACCCAGGGATCAAACCCACGTCTTTTACATCTGCACTGGCAGGCAGATTCTTTACCACTAGCGCCACCTGGGAAGACCAGAGAAGTATATAAGGTAATTCTGATTTTAGCCCATCTTGGATTTTTCCTACCGAATCCCATATTCCAGAATTTAACAGCTTCTATAATCATAGCAGCAAAATTGAGCTCTTATAAAATCTAGATCAAATTCTTAACAATAAAGCTTTCTGAAATAAGGTGTCTCTATACTGCATTCCAATGGACTTCCCTGTAGCTCAGATGGTCAAGAATCTGCCTGCAATGCAGGAGAGCTGGGTTCAATTCCTGGGTTGGGAAGAGCCTCTGGAGAAGGTAATGGCAAACCACTCCAGTATTCTTGTCTGGAGGATCCCATGGACAGAGAAACCCGGCAGGCTACAGTCTGTGGGATTGCAAAGTCAGACACGACTGAGCGCCTAACATTACTACTACTTATACTGCATTCCACTGTACTAGACATGTACATGGTTGGTAGATTAATAATTTGTTGATAATCAAAGAGATGCTGTAAGCTCCAAATGTACAGTTTTCTCAGAGCTTTCCCTTAGCAGCTACTTTTATTCCAGTGGTGCTACCAATGTTCAAACTACATTTATATAAGACTTTAGAACTAGTTTAAAAACTACTCAAAAAAAGACATCTAATAGTCTTTCCAATTGTTTTGACCTCCAATTATATTCACTGACTTGATCACCCAACTCTTCAGGGCACAGTAAGGCTTTAAAAGACGATGACTTCCCACTTCCAAAACTTTTAATAAGATGTGCTGTGGATTCTGAAGAGTGCCCAAATGAAGAGCTTCAGAATCAAGTGTCAACAGTGGCAACAATGGAAACAGAGTGCTTCACTCACATAGCATGAGCCAGTTCAGCATATCATCATAAAAATTAAGCCTTTTAAAGGAAAGTTACATATTCTAAAATTATTAAAAGAACATCATAAACCCATTCAATCATGCAGGTCCTTTAAACTTTGTTTTGAAAATATTAAGGAGAAAAAAAAATATGGCATTATGAATAGAGCTCAGACTGGAGAAGACTTTCTGATTTCTAATTTTTCTTCTTTTAATTTACTACTTGAGAGTAGTCAATACAATTTTTCATATGAATGAAAGGGCATAGGTTTTTAACTCTTTTATAATAATATTCCTTGAGCCTGAAGAAGATATACATATTTTCCACATTTCAGTTACATTTCAACAGTTATGCATTATATGCCTATAGGGATCATGTTCAATGGCAAAGTGAAGTTAACAGGTTATAGGCATAATGAATAGTTACTGAATTAATGAATTGAGGAAAAGAAAACCATATCTTTGGTGAACACAGGCAGAGTTCATTATAAAACTAACTCCCATGGGATTTGGTCCATGTAAATAAAGTTGCTGACTATTACATAATATCAAGCCTAAAGCTTCTGCTTAGATTTGGATTTAGATTCTGCTTTAGATTTCAGAATTCATTCATTGGGACCCAAGCCATACTTTTGAAGTAATAATTAAGACTGGGTTTTACAGAAAATTTACCTGACTTCCATACCTGAGATAAATGGATCATTTCACACAGCACTTGTGCTAAAAGCATAAGGTTTCTCATTTAAGCTAGCAGACATTTATCTTTCACAACAGAGATCTAAACATAACCAGTTTCTTCCCTTTTCCATTATTCCAGTTATTAGAAGATGCTTGGTCTCATAAATACAGCTCTATTACTGGCTTATAAGGACTACTTATTGGGTAGGACACACATCTCTGTTCCTTGGTTTATGTGATAGAACAGGACTAAGACAAAACCCTCCTCCTTCCTGTAGGGGCTTTTGTGAGTACATTGATAAATACCTACAAAATGATAAATGCTACTTTTAGCATTTTGAGAGATGTCAACCAAACACAAAATATTTTTGGTGTGTGAATTAAAATGCCTCTTACTGATGGTCTCAGATGTTTCCTTGTAAGATAAGCGTGTCAAGAACTGACATATATTATCCGTCCTCCAAACTGACATCACACTTCATAATAGCTTGGTATGATGACTGCTGTCAAAATCGCCTGCATGGAACCATCCGTGCCCTAGATTGACAAAATTTATTAGCGTGACAGAAGACTAAAAAACGAAGAGACTTTGAGCTCACGAATTGGGGGGGGGGGTAGAAGGTGGAGTCTGCTACATGTGAGCAAAGGGCCTCAATCTTTCTTACGGATTAACTTAATTTAGGAAGAAAATGAAAGTTGCCCGGAGGTCTCGTGGGCGGGGGAGGGGAAGGCCAGACTGGCAAGTGCTTGCGACAGGAATAGGAAAATACTTTTTTCAAAGCCGAATTCTAGGTAGGAATAGGATTTCCCTTCTCCACGACCACCACGCGACCGCACACTCTTTGCGAGAAACGAAATGGAAACGAGGGCGCGGCGGCCTGCGGGGCGGGCTGGAGAAGCTGATCCGACGGAGCGGGGTCCTGGGCCGGTCGGCTCGGCGTGGCCTCCGCGTCCGCGACAGAGTTTTCAAGCTGCGCTCTCGCCGCCTTCCACGGCGCGTGACCCGCCGCCCTCGCGACCTCGGCAGCACCTCCCGGCGCCGACCCGCCAGTCCCCTCCTCGCCCTCTTCTGCAGGTGCCGGTGGGCGAGGCGCCCTCCGCGGCCGAGACGCTCCGCACGCGCCCTTCCCGTGAGAATCAGAGCTACCGAAGACGTGGGCCCCAACTACACACAAAGCCCCCGACGGCGCCGCGGCGCCTCTCCGCCTCGCTACTCCGGTTCCGTGAGCCCAGAGAGCGGCGGTCCACGTTACCGCGTCCGCTCCCGCGGGGAACCCCGCCAACAGGAAGCCTCCAGCGGGAGGTGAGATGTCGCTCACGCGAGCACCCCGGCCCCTCTGCCCGACGGACACTCTCACTTCAGATGAACGGGCGCTACCGCCTGCGGGAGGAGGGGAGCGCGTGGGGAATACTCACACTGGGCCTGGCCCGGCCGCGCCGCGTAGGGACCTCACCGGGAAAGACGCGCGGGCTCACGCCGGGGTGCCGAGAGCCAGCAGGTAGCTTCCGCGCCGCCGCCTCGGAAGGGAGGCCTCTACCGTCCGGCCGCGGACCTGCAGCCGCCGCGTGCGCGCCGCCGTCGGCCCCGCCCATCGCCCCGTCCCCGCCCCGTCCCGCTGGGCCCGCCCAACGGGCCCTTCGGCCCCTCCCAGTCCTGCTTCCCGCATCCCACCCCGCCACTCCTTTCCTGGGCCGGTTCCCTCCCCTCCTCTCTGCCCGCCGGGAGCAATCGGCTCTCTGACTAACGCGAGGCGACGTGGAAATCCTTCCACCAAAATGAGCTGTGATATCCTTTTGATGGCTATAATTTATTCCAAATCGTCCCTGGACTGAAACGATCAATTAGCAGCCCGAAACGCACTGTGAAGTAAATTGTCACACTCTCTATTACAGGATGGTTATCGTATATTTATAAGGTGTGTTTTCTGCAATCAGAACCAACAAGGTGTTGAGCGATCAGTCATAAACGTGCTTCTTCAAAAAGAGCGGGAAAGAAGCCCCAACACTGAGGGATGGAGGAGGGTTCGTCCTTTAGACAATTACGTCTCCCACCCTCCTACAAGGGTGATGTTTCCTCCTGGCATCTGGGAAGTGCAGTGAGGGCGAGAGCTCAGCGCCAGTTCTGGCTGCTCCTGTGACTGGGGAGCAGCGTCCCTGTGAGCAACAGGGAGACTCGAAGCCCCAAGAGGGGATAGTTTCTTATTGTGAGATACAGCTCAAGCATGAGGATCGCACACTCCGTTTTCCCGTTTTCAGCACCATCCTGGAAAATAATGTCTTACTCTTTCCTTCTAAATTTCTAGCAAAATGTTCTCATTCTATACTTGTCTCTTCCTCAAATCTCAGGGTGTTGCCCTCCTCTCTCTGTTAAGTGTTATATACTGTAGAGATTATGCCAGGGTGATACAGACATTACCCACGGAGAAAACTCTGCATTCTGAATCTCGGCCAGAACGCTTCCATCATTCATAAATGAAATGGCACTAGTTCTGAGAAAGTCTTAAGAAATTCTCACTCAGTCTGGTAGGCTGTCTTGACTGGATCAAGTCATGGAGACATTGTTATTTTCCTCCTGGTCATCCTCAGTGATGTATATGAATATATGAATACATTCAGAACTTCCGAGTTTCCCCTAACAAACTTTCATCACAGTGTCATCCACCAACCACCTATCAATCATTTTTTAAGAAGGATTCTGGTTTGTATCCTGTTGTTCTCTTCCCTGAAAAACAGCTCTAGAGCCCAGGCTACTGATGGTTGTGAGAAAAATTTAGAAACTAGAAGCGTTTCTAGTATGCCTCTGTGGGCAATAAGGTGACATGGAGAGTGAGTCACAGGGAGGGTAGGATGCAGAGTTTACTCTGCATTTTTTTTTTTTTAAGTTAACTGCCCCCATGATTTCTGCATGGTGGTACTTGTCTGCAATTCCAACCTCTGAAGAATGGGGAGAAAGGAAGTCTGGTTAGGTATTCGAGTTGTAGGTGCAGCTGTTGTAACCATTGGGTCTCCCCCAGCATAAATGGGGCACTGCATCCTTCTCTCAGAAAGCAAAGGGGCTGGAGACCCTTGCCTCATTTGAGTACCAGCACAGCAAAGAGCCAGACCCAGAACTTTCTTCTACAAACCACCTTATACCTTCCAAAGTCATTAAGAGCTAATATATTTATTAAGCACTTACTTCATGTCAGGCACTTACTTCATACTCAAATATTTAAGATTTTGATTTAGGATTTTCCACCAAAAAGGTTGTGATGGAGCTGATGATTAGATGAGAGTGGTGAATTCTGGGAGAAGAATGAAATGACAGCTCTTTGCAAAGGAAAGACACTATAGATATTTACACCAGACCTGGGTAGATTACCCTTTCTCTGTTCTACACTCCCTACATTCCACGATTTCTTTTTCAGACTTATCACCTGCGATCTGGTGTCTAGCCAAAGAGACCTTACCCAAGGTCAGTGATGACTGCTAAGTTTGGGTGGAGGTGGAGGAGTAGGGTAGATGCAACAGACCCCAGGGAAAACAGAGCTCCCTGGAGAGAAGCCTTAAGTAGGAGCCATAGCTGGCCAGAGGCCCTTGTCCCAGACCTCAGGCTCTGAGAATGAAATGTTGCTTCCTAATAGACTTTAAATTACCAACATCGCTAAACTCTCCCTTAATAGACTTGTAAAGCTCTGCTTGCTACCTTTTTCCCCCTTCATGTAGAATTTGTAATCAAGAGCCCAATTTTGTCATTTGGAAATACTAATTATCTAATCACGCCATGCTGCATAACGTACTTGTCTGCCCAATTAGCTAGGACAATTATTAAAATTCAGAGGCCTAATTATGTCTCAATTTAATGCTGGCAAACTTGCATACAGAGCAGTAATTAAAATCCTCTCTCTCCCTCTGCCTTTAGGGCAGGGGATGATTAGGCCCTGTCAGGGGGTGTCGTGAACTAAACCAGTGAAGCGTATTGTGCAGCCTGACCCTGCATTGTTAAGTGTGTCAACATATTAACCTGAATTCCCTTCAGCCCCCACATAATCACATTTTGTGGAGGAATAAAGGAGCTAAAACATGAAGCATTTTATTAAAAAAACATAAATTCTTTTTAATTAATGCTATGAGAGTTCTGATGAATTTCATGCTTCCAAGTGCTGGAAGACATAAGACTGGTTCATCTAATTATGAGCAAATTTGCTCTTGTTAAAACTACTTTTTTTTTTTTTTTACTCATTTAAAGAAAATGATTTTTTTGGTGGTGTAATAAAAAAAGGAAAGGAAAAAAACCCTAGCTGTTTGGCTTCCAGTCACACACTTGATTATCAGTTTTGTTTGATGATGGAACACAAGTGAATGTTGATTTCCAAAAGAATCAAACCCAAGACCAGAGGCATTTTTTTAAAAAGGCTAGAATTTAATACTTGAAAGATATTAATAAAAGTGAAACATTAAAAATCATAATATTGAAACAAATTAAAAATATTTATCATTTGAGCTCATAGTTTGATGTCTGAAACAAAACTAGGGTGAGGTGCACAGCTTCACGTTGCTTTGGAAGCCTCTCGGCTTGTAGGAACCCAGACAGTGTGTGTCTATTCTGCTAACATCTCAACCCTCTTCACCAACTAGAGAGCCACAAAACCCATTAAGACCTTCAAAACTGTCCTCTGACTTTTGATTTTCTCTCATGATGGAATACATGGTGGATTAGTCATGGACTCTTCTAAAGAACCTAGGCTTCCCCTGGTGGCTTGGACAGTAAAAAATCCGCCTTCAGTGAGAGAAACCCAGGTTTGCTTCCTGGGTTGGGAAGATCCCTTGGAGAAGGGAATGGCTACCCACTCCAGTATTCTTGTCTGGAGAATTCCATGGACAGAGGAGCCTGGCGGGCTGCAGTCCATGGGGTCTGGACAGTCCATGCAGTCGCAAAGAATCAGACACGACTGAGAGACTTTCATTTCTAAAGAGGGAAAGCAATTCAGTCTAGTCCAAAAATGCATTATTCTGGAAAAAGAAGGACTTCTTTCTGTTGCTTCTGAACACATGTGTGTGGATAGCTTACACACACACACACACACACACACACACACACACACAGAGTCACTTACTTGGGCAGAGCTTACTCTCAACTGATCTTGTTTTGGATTCTCCTGACAACCTTGTGACAGTAGGCAAGGCAAGCATGTCTCCATTTTATGAATGGGGGGCGGTGCAGACACTCATCAGAGCTGACCATTCTGTCCCAGCACTTCCTGTTATGGGCAGGGTGACGCCAGAACTCGGTTCCCCTTGCTGCCCACTGCATCAAGCAGAGTGGCAGTAGATGAGACCCCAGTGAGGGAGACGCTTGGTTTAGTAAAATATCTCAAGATGACATCAAAGTATAGATGATGTTACAAATAATGAGGCAACAAGGGAATAGCCTATATACCAACACCAGGGGATCTTCCGTCCTTCAGTCAATATTCATTTGCAATACATTTAGTCATTAGTCATATTTGTTCATATTTGGTGCCTTTGGCCATTTACTTCCTCTTTAGGTTTTTATATTCCCCAGTATAAACACACACACACACACACACACAGAGTTACATCTGAGTCAGTGGTAGTAAAAATAGAATTCCTTCCTCCCACTCTTGCTCTGGGTACCATATGGGGTAGAAGATGGTGTTTAGGGACAATTCTGGCTGGTCCATGCCCTCTGATTAACAAAGGCAGTGACTACAGATAGTCTCTCCTGGAGATAGTGACTGGAGCAAGGACGGGCCCTTAGGCACTTGTCCTATAAAACCAAGGCGGGGAGCCCCTCCCCGAGGCCGCCCATGGAGTGTGCCCTGTGTCTTGAAAATGGCCTTGCTCCGAGTCTCTTTGGACGGCAAACTGAAGTGCGAATCTGTGTTCTGACTTGTCCCCGTGGCTGTCAGCATGTTTTCCTCTTGTCAGCAGCAATTGACTGGTCAGACTCACCCTGTACAGCAATTCTAACAGCTCATTGACAGACTAGTGACCCAGCTGGACCTGATAATGGAAAACTATTGATTTTTGTGGGCTCCACGAATCTAAAATGAACGACCGATGTAATGTCATCAATTGTCTCGGACTCTGATAACCCAGGGGAAAAAAGTTTCAGGGATTGGTTGTATTTCCTGACAATGGTGTTTCAAAATCACACTGAGTATATGTAAGAAGCAGCCCATTTCTAGGGTGTTTTCTTTAAATAACCCCAAATAGGTGATCAGGGCTTTAATAATACCTAGCCTTGCATGTTAAATAAACTGGGAGTTAGCACTGCCAATTAACCAGTTGGGACCTGATATACCATTTAGAAAAGATACTTGAGGAGGACCACTTTGGAAAGAAAGTGTTTTAAATGTTTATGTATTACAAAACAAGCTCACAGAAGAGAAAAAAAAAAAAGTTGGGATTAAATAAAAATAGACTGGTTTTCGAAACGTCCTGTCAAATTTTAACAGAACTAATAATATTCGATTGCTTCTGCTTACCTGTGTCGATCTGTTTTGTGAAAGTGTTAGTCGCTCAGTGGTGTCTGACTCTTTGCAACCCCATGGACTATAGCCCGCCAGACTGCTTGTCTTTGTCCATGGAATTCTCTAGGCAAGAATACTGCAGTGGGTAGCCATTTCCGTCTCCAGGGGGTCTTCCCAACCCAGTAGTCGAACCTGAGACTACTGCATTATAGGCAGATTCTTTCTCATCTGAGCCACCAGGGAAGCCCTGTTTTGTAGTAGAAAG